ATTTACTGTAGAGATGAGGTCTTGCCAAGTTGCCCAGGCAGGTCTCAAACCCACGGGCTCAGGCAATTCACTTACCTCGGCCTCCCAAGACACGGATTACAAACTGAGCCCCCGAGCCTGGCCTGGTTTTTTACTTATTATTATAAAGGTGTGAGGTACAATTCAGGGTTAGGTATACAAACGTTGACTATGCAGGTACCCTTATTGATGAGGTATGGCCCCTTAATGTTTTCATCATTGTACTTCAGCTTACTAGGGTTCCTTTGTAATCCTAGGTATTCTGTGATGGGCCCCCAAAATCCTTATTCTTAGCAGAATTCTATCTGTGGTCTTCACCAGACTGCCAAGGTCATGGTCAGAAAAGGTTAGGGCCCCTTCTTTGGAGGGAGGGTCTCCCTTCTCCTCTTAAAGGTGAGGCTTCTGGCCGGGCTTGGTGGCTCAGCCTGTAATCCCAGCGCTTTGGGAGGCCAAGGTGAGTGGATTTCCTGAGCCCGCGGGTTCGAGACCCGCCTGGGCAACTTGCCGAGACCTCATCTCTACAATAAATTTTTAAAAAAATTAGCCGGGTGTGTTAGCACGCGCCTGTAATTCCAGCTACTTGGAAGGCTGAGGCGGAAGGATTGCCGGAGCCTAGCAGGTTGAGGCTGCGGTGGCCGGGAGCGGCCACTGCACTCCAGTCTGGGTGACAGAGTGAGACTCCAACTCGAAAAAAGAAAAAAATAGGTGAGGCTTCTGAGGTCCTTCTGCCATTCTCCCATCTCAGCACTTCATGCAACCTTAAAAGCAGCTGGATGTTTTGGGTGCACGCTTTTGATGAAATCTCTCTCTGTCAGCCTGTGCCCAGGGAACCTTCAAGCCTCTGTCAGGAGAGGGGTCCTGCCAGCCATGCCCAGCCAACAGCCATTCTAACACCATCGGATCAGCTGTCTGCCAGTGCCGCATCGGATACTTCCGGGCCCGCACGGACCCCCAGGGTGCACCCTGCACCAGTAAGTAACCAGCCAGGTGCAGTTCATCAGGGAGGGCCTGCAGACCCTGGGGGCAGACTCCCGCCACAGACCCCATCCTCCCCGGGCTTCCTCCCCGCGACCTTGGTGTGCGGCTCCCCCTCCCAGAGGGGCAGATGAAGCCTGCCCTCCGCCAGGCAAGAGGTCGGCGTGGCTGCCTGTCCCTCCTCTGCCCCGTGGATCCAGCCGGCCTTTGCCTGACGCCCTGGTCTCCGGCAGCCCCTCCGTCTGCTCCACGGAGTGTGGTTCCCCGCCTGAACGGCTCCTCCCTGCACCTGGAATGGAGTGCCCCCCTCGAGTCCGGCGGCCGAGAGGACCTCACCTACGCGCTCCGCTGCCGAGAATGTCGCCCCGGAGGCTCCTGCACGCCCTGCGGGGGGGACCTGACCTTCGACCCCGGCCCCCGGGACCTCGTCGAGCCCTGGGTGGCGGTTCGGGGACTGCGTCCTGACTTCACCTATACCTTTGAAGTCACCGCCTTGAATGGCGTGTCCTCCTTAGCCACCGGGCCTGTCCCATTTGAGCCTGTCAATGTCACCACCGACAGAGAAGGTGAGACTGGGGGATCGGGGTATCCCTCGATCGGGTGGTCGGCGGGATAGGTCAGCGAGGGATGTGGACACACCGAGGGCCTGACGGGGAGAGTCGGGTGCTGGGGAGCGGGGTCCCCAAAAAGTATGTAAGGTCAAGGCTTGCCGGGCAGAAGGCAGACAGAGAGGGTGAGAAGGCCATAAATGCAGGCCTGAGAGTTAAAGGCAGGCAGAGCTGGTCTCGGTGGCTCAGCCTGTCATCCCGCACTTTGGGAGGCCGAGGTGAGTGGATTGCCTGAGGCTGCGGGTTCGAGACCCGCCTGGGCAACTTGGTGAGACCTCATCTCTACAATAAATCAAAAAATCAGCCGGGCGTGGTAGCGCACGCCTGTAATTCTGGCTGCTTGGAAGGATGAGGCGGAAGGATCGCCGGAGCCCAGCAGGTCGAGGCTGCAGTGGCCGCTCCCGGCTGGGCGACAGAGTGAGACTCCAACACACACACACACACACACAAAGTAAAAAATAAAGGCAGGCAGGCTCCCGAGAGACTCAGAAGCGATTCCTGGGACAGTACTCGTCAGGAGATCTGTGATAAGCGAAGGCAGTAATGGAAGAGTTGGAAGAGACACGGGACAGCTCTGCCATGCACAAGGATCCACGTATCTCTGCCTCTCACAGTGCCTCCTGCAGTGTCTGACATCCGGGTGACACGGTCGTCACCCAGTAGCTTGAGCCTGGCATGGGCTGTTCCCCGAGCACCCAGCGGGGCTGTGCTAGACTACGAGGTCAAGTACCACGAGAAGGTGAGACCAGGCTCTGACCCTGGGGTGGGGTGGGCAGAGGGTTGCCCTCATGGGGCGGGACATCCGAACTGCAGGTATCCGGCAAGCATTTGAACTCCAACTCTGTCACGTATTCACCGTGCACCCTTGGGTCAGCCCCTTGACCCCTCTGAGCCACAGCCCCCTTATCTATAAAATAGTTGTGATAACCGTACCAACTGCACGGAATTGCTGCAAGGATTAAATGATACAACAAAGGCAAAACACACGGCATGGTGCCTGCATCAGGGTGCCCAAAGGCCTCACCTGCCACACAACAGCCTGGCGGTGGGGGCATGGGCTGGAGAGAGGAGACAGGCGAGCGGCAGAAACCGGGGGCCTTGGGTGACAGCCAGCCCCCACCTCCTCCCGGACAGGGCGCCGAGGGCCCCAGCAGCGTACGGTTCCTGAAGACATCGGAAAACTGGGCAGAGCTCCAGGGGCTGAAGCGGGGAGCCAGCTACCTGGTCCAGGTGCGGGCACGCTCCGAGGCCGGCTACGGGCCCTTTGGCCAGGAGCACCACAGCCAGACCCAGCTAGAGGGTGAGCCTGGGGAATGGGGCCTGGGCAGGGGTACTGTCTCCTGAAGCACCCCAAAGTCCTGTCCTCTTGCTTCTCTTTCTCTCGACCACAGACATGTCCTAGTGAGGAGAGCGTAGCGTGTTCAAACCCAGCCAGCAGTTGGGTGTGAAGCCCGGCTTGGTGGCTTACTAGCTGTGTGACCCTTAGCAGCAAGCTGACCCTGAGCTCCAGTTCCCTCATCCGATAAAATGGGGATGTTGCCGGGCTCGGTGGCTCAGCCTGTAATCCCGTGCCTTTGGGAGGCTGAGGTGAG